ACAAACAATGAATCATGGAACACTACATCAAAAACTAATGATGTAATATATGGTGATTAACATAACAATAAAAAATTTAAAAAATAAATAAAATAAATAAGCATCTGCCTTTGGCTCGGGTCATGATCCCAGGGTCCTGGGATGGAGCTCCGCTTCACTTTGGGCTCCCTGCTCAGTGGGGAGTCTGCTTCTCCCTCTACCCCTCCCCCCTGCTCATGATCTCTCAAGCTCTCTCTCCCTCAAATAAATAAAATCTTTTAAATAAATAAATAAATTTTCTAATGCGAATTATGTGTGTTTTAAAATTTTGTTACCACCAAGGTTCAAGGTGCTGAGGGACCACTGAAAAAATCAAGCAATTCTTCATTTTTGTCAGTTTCTGAAGAGGAGGGAAATGCCCTGGGATCAGAAAGACCAGTGTCACCAAATGTGACCCTGGGCAAGTAACCTCACCTGCCGTAGCGTGAGTCAGGCTTCAGATGGAATTCTGGCCCTCACACCTCCACATGCCACCTCCCCACCGTTCTGACCATCAGTCTCATCAGTAAAATATGAATAATAATAACATGCATGGAATGCTTGCTGTGGGCTGCGTACTACTTCTAGCACATTGCTTGTTTTAAGTGATCTCATCCTCACCTCAGCCCCGCAGAGAGAGGGGCTCTTCGGATCTTCATTTCATGGCTGAGGATTCTGAAGCACACAACTGTGTCATTTGCCTGGAGCTGCCCAGCCAGTAAGTGCTGGAGCCCAGGACGAAGCCCAAGCAATCCGACTCCGGAGTCTCTGGTCTTTTCCGTGTGAGACAGCTCCCTACCTGTGGGGCAATGTGAGCATTATATGAAATAATGCACATGAAGCACCTATCATGTGGCCTGGCATGTGGCTGTTAGAATTACCTCATCATGTCAAATACAACTGTGGGAATGTCTATTGGTCTCTATCCCAGTTCCTGGCAAAGGGGGACTCTAGAAGTTGGTTTTCTTCCCCCAGTGAAATGATGCGGAAACAGAGAACATGATCCACGATGCAAACACTCACAGAAAATGCTCATTTATGCATGTTATTTTTTTATCCTTTGGTACAGGGAATAAATACCTCAGAACCTGTGGGATACACCTTTACTACAGGCAAATTTGTGTCACTACTTTCATCTTCTTGTTTTTCTTATGCTTCTTTTTTATTGCCATCAAGGTTTCCCTGGACTGGGAAAAGCTTGAGCCAAATGTCACGGACAGTAGAATAGGCATGAAATGTTGCCAGTGCTTGTGAGTTTTTGAAGGCTCCGACTTCCCCTCAGTTCGCTGAGGGGTTGGGGGGGGGGCCTACAAGTGCAAAGGCAGGGCCTCAGAGGTGTCCTCCTATGGCTGGGTCTTCCTGGATCTCCCCTCTGGGTAGGGCATCTGGCTCTCCTCATGCACACATCTGCCTATGCCCAGTGCTCCCATAATCTGTCATCCACATGTCATTCATACAATTACTTCTTCACAGCCACACCCACACATACCTTCCCCCCTCCCAGGGCCCTCCACACACAACATACAGTACACAGACACCTTCTTTACTACCCCCCAAACCCACTTACTCTTTCATTCTGATGGCACGGAGGTAATAAGTCCTCCGTGCTGGTCACTGTGCTACATACTCAGAGATATTTTGGCCACAAACACTCACATATACATTGGTTTCTGCACACATGCCAGCTTTCCATGCAGGCATTTGCACGCCCCTTGTACATATAACCATAGGTAACCCTGACATATTCACATACATACGCATCCCTGTGAAGACATTCGTTCCGTTCAGGCCCCCTATATCACCTGGCTAGGTTTAGAATGGTCTTTGATTTGCTTTCTCCATGGCATCTGGCTGACCTCATGGCAGACAATGTAAAGGTGTCAGTAGGGTACTCGTGAAATAGCACAATTTTGAACATGCTGGCAGGTTCTGGTGTGTGATGTTTATCTTCAAAACAGACCTCACCTACCTTCTGCTTTCCAGGAAAATGCTCCATATTTCTCCCAGTCACAGGAAAACACTGGTTGCTGTCATGGGTGGGAGAGCCGACCTGGGGGAGGGCAGCAGTGGTGTGAGCTGGGTCAGGCTACTACGTTGCTGACTGTGGACTGCGGACCCCCGAATCAGGAGGAGGGCAAGGGAGAGGGAAGCAATGAGCCACACTGCCCTATTCATCCCACCCTGAGATCAGCCTCTCCCGACTTAGGAAACCCAGAGCAGGTGGCCACCAATTCCGCATCCTCCCTGTACTGGCCCCCTCATGATGGCATGTTGTTCACTCTCACACCCCCGTCTATTTCCAGCCTCCCACCGACTCCCCAGGGCCCAGGTCCTCCCTTTGCAAACATGCTCTGAATCAGGGTGTGAAGCCCTCCATTTCAAAGTAAAGGAGCTCTGCTCAGGGAGTCAAGGACAGGGTAAGGATTCATTAAAAACAAGTACAAGTAGGAAGCCCAGGGTCCTGCTGTGGGGAGCACCACTTTTAGCAGAAGCCAAGGGGAGGCACCATCCTTACATTCAGGGCAGACCCTCCAGCTCCCTCCCCAGAATCTTCAGCTACCAAGTGGGCAGTGGCGTGGTTGAGGACATGGATGTAGCAGCGTGTCTGCCTCTCTGAGAGTCTTGGGGACAGAAACTTCCATAGTTCCTATGAATGGGCTAGTGCCATAGACGCCAGGGAGAATGACAGCCAGGGGCTGAGGAGAGAGCGTGTCTTTGTTTCCAATCCTACAATGGGAAGCCTGGGTTTCAAGGTCATCTTTGACACTGGTGGGCTGGAAGCAGGAAGGGTCTAGAGAAGAAGGCACGGGGGTGTCTAAAATACAAGTGGGCAATTCGTGTATTGTCAATCTATCCCTAAGAAACTTAGAAAGTAGCACTCGGGGTTGGGAAGAGATGAGAGGGGTGAACAGGTGGAATGCAGAGGATTTTTAGGGCAGTGGAAATAGCCCGTATATTCTATAAGGATGGACACATCATGATACATTTGTCCAAACACGCAGAATGCACACCACCAGGAACAAACCCTAACATATGGACTCTGGGTGACTATGGCATGCCCACATCGGCTCATCGGTTGGAACACATGTTCCACTCCACTGGGGGTGTTGCTAGTGGGGGAGGCTGTGCATTGCAGCAGCAGGGGGTGTGTGGGAAACCTCCACCTCCCTCTCCGTTTTGCTGTGGACCTGAAACTGCTTGAAAAACAAGTATTAATAAAAATCGGTCTACTACTAGATAAAAGGAAGAGGAAGGGATTAGGCTGGCCAGAGACTATGAGAAAGCAGGCAGTGTCACAGAGAGATTGAACTTTATTGAGATTTCCTCCCTGATGAAATCAGAATGGCAAGAACACTGGAAAGTTTCCACTTTGGAGAGAAACAGCAACTGTTCAGGCACAAATACTTACAGATAACTCCTCTTGGGGGGAATCTCTGGATCCTAAATTTACCCCCAGGTCCCAATCCCCGTCCTCCCCAAAGAGTCAGAATTCTGTTTGAAATCCACATCCACAGAACAGAGGCCCAAACAGCACTGAAAGCCTAGGCAGACCCGCTGACCAGCCTACGGGCCATTTAGAGAAAAGGCAGGTTGAGAGAGCAGAGGGACAAATAAGAAAAGGCAAATGGATGGAACGAGAAAGGAAGAAAAGATCACACTGATAATGTCAGCCCCAGCCCCATGAAAACAAAGATCCTGTATGAATGTACTGGCTTCCTTGCACCCGCTTCCCCCAAAGTGATGGGGGCATCAGCTGCTATAACAGTTCTGTACTTTGTATGGCCCTGCTGCACGGAGAAAACCTGATATGCTCGAGGACATTGGGAACATTAAGGAGCAAGGTGAGAGGGGACGTGACGGGGAGGTGAGGCAAGGGCTGGTTTTTAATGAGAAAAAAAGCAGCTCATCAGGCCCTGGTCACCAGGCTCCTTGGGTGCCCCAGCAGGCCCCTGGTGCTCTGCTTGACTGTGTCCTTAGAGACAATATCCCGGAGGCTTTGGGGCCTCTGGCTTTCTTGTGGGAGGTTCCAGGTCCTGCTGCAGTATGCACCCGAGTGCTAATCATTCTGGGAAGCAGGAATTCCAAATTCTCCACGGGGACCTAATCTGATTGATCAGCAATTTGCTTCCATGGCCTTGTCCTCAGAGTGCCTCCCATCTGCCTTCATCTTCGCTTTCCTTCTGGTCCAAGGTGACCCCCTGGTGCTGGTGGGCCCTGACCCAGGCCTCATGGTGAAGCCCCCCAGATGGCTCGCTCCCAAGCGAGGCTGGCTCACGAGGCCACAGGTGCCGCTCCGGACAGCCCTGGGCCAGGTCTCCTGGATTTGCACAGACTGTTCACCCACCTACTTTTCGTCAAAAGGCTCCTTCCCTCCATCCCCCACTGCCCTCCGGGGTTGCCCAGCAGCCAGGCATGACCCTCACAGAGCATCCTTTCTCCATGCCCCTTGGCCTCTGCTGTCTCCCTCAGCTCTCTTGGACAAGGCAGTACATGCATATTCACACTTGTCCGTATTTGAAGGCCCTGGCTGCCCTGTGGTATGTTTGGTGCAAATCAGTATCAAGTTCAGGTGGAAAACCGAATGTGAAGCCTTGGTTGCCACCCACACCGAGTGGCTGGCACTGGTTCTGACTCGTGGGAAATCACTCTGAGTTTTGAGTGTTGGCACATCAGGGAATGGAGAAGAAAAGGGAAGCCATGGCATGAAAACCAGGAGGGGATGACCCTTCCGCAGAGCGTCTCTGCAGAGAAGGTGTGGAAACTGCTGCCTCCTCATCCAGAGTAGATGGGCTGCCCAGAGAAGACCCTCATGAAAAGGAGCAAGGTTTCCATCGTCCCCTCTGAAACCCAAAGCCTTTGGGGTCTGTTTTCCAAGACATGCAATAGACAAAGACACACTGCAAACCAATTAACCCTCTGAGCCCTTCTGGTAGTTTCACTGAAGTCACTTCCAAGAAGTCAATTACCTGAATGCATGGAACACTAGCCTCCTCTTGGGGCCAAGAAAGGGACCGAGCTTCCCAGCCGGCTTAGAAGACTACATCGGAGAAATGGCAGGGGGGAGGCAGCTCCGTCTCCTAGCCTGGGGGACTCCTGTTCTCTCTTAGCATTCTGGTATCCTAAACCGTTCCCCCGCCCCCAGAGGAAGCAGGGTGGAGGGCCTGGGGGTAGGCTCAAAACCCAGGTGGATTCCAACCCAAGAGACTGTCCCCTGTTGAAGCCAACCCAAGCAAGGAGCAGGAGAGGGCTAGAGGACCAGCAGGAGACTGCGTGGGAGGAAGCCACAAAGGACCTGAGCAGCCCTACAGAAATCAAGTCTTCCCTATTTTCCCAGCTTAGAGGGCGAAAAAGGAATTTCAGCTGCTTTCAGCTGGACGCTCATCACCTCAGTATAAGCTCAGTATACGCTAGAATTTAGCTGCTCTTTGTCCCTTTGCGATAGGACCCAGGAAAAGCAGGCGGGGCCTGACCTGCCTCAGTCAGGCCCCCCACTGAAGCAACAAGACAGGCACACTATAATTCACAGTTTCCTCTGGCCTCCCTTGACCCGCACCCTCCCCCAGCACTGGCCTCAATTAACTCCCAAATCTCCGGTGTGTAAAGATTCTTGCCAGTGTGGCTCAAAGGGTTAATAAACCAGGACTTCTCAGACAGGACACAAGCTCATCCACTAACAGGAACCCCAGAACGGCGACACAACGACCTAGTGTTTCTTATAGCGATTCTTTGGGGTTTCGCCACACCCTGTTTTGTCACAGTTGAGAGCACCTGGATTCTTCCCTAGCCCGAGGCTTCCCAGGAGGCCGGGGAGCTCCTGCGTGATGGCCCGCTCAATCTTCTCCAGGAAGCAGCCCCCCATATAGGAGCACTGCTGAGACAGCAGCTTGAAACTGGAGATGGGGTTGATGCCAAAGAAGTCCTTGTAGGCCTCGCGGTTGGGAAGGTCAAACTTGCTGACGTTGGTCTTTGCCAGGATGGTCTTGAAGATGTAGAATTTGTCGGGGTCTTCCACAATGTCCTTAAAGACCAGCTCTCCATCACTGAAGAAGGTCATTTTGTCCTTGTAAGTCTGCAGATAGCGGTCGACCAGGAGGGCGTGAATGCGGACCCGGATGGCATGCTGGCGGATGAAGGCGATCTTGTTCTCCAACCTGTTCTCGATCACCTGGTTCAGGTCTTCCAGGAGAGAGATCTCTTCCTTGAGAAACAGGTCCCGGTGGGTATCGGGCTTGTAGTCTTGTGGCCAGAAGGAGCTGACATAAACCCTCGGGGGCTCTGTGACGTTGATGAGCGGGGCCAAGCTCCAGAAAAGGGCCCCATAGACCCGCATGAGCATCTGCGTTGCCAGGTTGTCGGCCTTGTTCAGGATGATCCTTATCTGGGACTCTCGTCCCTTCAGCTGGCGGAAGAGCATCTCCAGCTCCAGACCCACGTCCAACTTGGTTGGGTCAAAGACAACAAAGATGAGGTCCGCTCTGTCGATGAACCACTGGCACACATCATTGAAGGGGTAACCTTGGGGGGGAGCAAGAAGTCAAACTGAGCAGGCTCACCCTAAGCCCCTCGTGCCCCCTTCCAGAACCAAACCATTGCCTGGGTTGAAGGGAATAAAGGCAGTAGGGATTTTCTGGGCTTCCAAAGACTAAAAGAATTAATTGCATATCTCCTGCGCCTTGTCAGCACTCAGCCTAGAACAGCCTGATCCTTGTTTTAATCTATGGAATCCAAGGCTCCAGGAAAGTAAAATACTTTTTCAAAATGGAGATCTTTCTACTGTCTAAAAAGATATGGGACAGTGGCAAAGACATTGAAGGGCTGAAGTCAGGGAATTAGAAGAATATGAAAGAGAGGAATGCTATTTAGGGGGAAGCAATGTGGAGCTGGCCCAAGACCCGGACTGGAATTTGGGTTCTGCCACTGGCCAGCCCAGAAGAGTAAATGCTTCCAAGCTGTACCATCTTAGCTACAAAATAACAAGAAGAACAATAATACCTAGGTTGATATAAAGATTATGATGTTGCTATAAGTAAAGCACATAACTAAAACTGCCTCTCACACAGTAGGTGCTCGACATATTTTAATTCCTTCCACTTATTTCCAAAATGAGGAGACTAGGAAGACCTGTCTTGAAATTTTTCTACAACAATCAACCAGTAATGCATACAATTATCCAATGCATAATAGAAGAATAAAGGTTAATTTACTATTATAATTATTAGTGACAATATTATTACTAGTAATAAAACAGTAAGGAAACCAAAATGAGAGTTATAACCATAAAGTGAGATCCACCATCTGGGCCTATAGTCCTACAAATACCCTGTGATGACTCATCTCTGCAGACAGCCCTGTGTCGTGGTGATACTCAGTGGCCTCTGTCATAACCACGTGTCTGCTGGGACCAAAGTGGCACTCCTCTCCCACTGGAAGAGAATGCTGGGAAGTGTAATACAGGCTTCTGTTCAAGCAGGCCTGGTCAAGCAGACACTGGACCAGGAAGAGTTCAAGGTCAGGTTCAAACCAGAACCCAAGCTAACCAGAGGTCAAGTACACATGGACAGGGATCCAATTCATCTTGGACAACGCTGGTCACCTTTCCTCTCCCCTGTCTGCCTACCACCCCATCGAATGGTTTTCTAAGACAAAGCTCAAGCTGTCCAGATACAAGCGCTCAACTACCTCTTTCTTGCTGCTTGCGGTTCTCGATGATGCCTGGTGTATCCACGAAAGTGACTCGCTCCAGAAGTTTGTGGGGAACCTCGATGCCAATCAGCTTCTCTAGGAAATTCTGGCCAAATTTCTCGAGGGGTGAGAAGGACCGAGTGCTGTCAGCAGCCATGACGATACCCTCAATGGTTTTCAGCTTGGGTCCGTGCATGAGGACGGTGAACTCCGAGGTGGTGGGCTCAGCACCTGCACGCATGGGCACGAGGTCAGTCGGGACACAGTCACCTCTGCGACAGAGACCCTACTACAAAGTAAGTGGGTGAGCCAGGGGTTTCAGGGCAGACTTGCCTCAAGAACTGGATACCCTGCTTGCTAAGCCAGTGTCTTCTTTCTTTTTTTAATTGTAAAAATATGTGTCATGAAATTGACAGTTTTAACCATTTTTGGGTGTACAATTCAGTGGCATTAAGCACATTCACACTGTTGTGCAGCCCTCACCACCATCTATCTCACAAACTGAAACTGTCCCCACTCATTCCCCCTTCCCAGCCCCCGGTAATCTCTCCTCTACTCTGTCTCCATGGATTGGATGACTCTAGGCACCTTGTAAGTGGAATCGTAAGATATCTGTCCTTTTGTGTCTGACTTATTTCAATGTAGTGTCTTCAAGATTCATGCATGTTGGACCGCCTGGGTGGCTCAGTCGTTAGGCGTCTGCTTTCGGCTCAGGTCATGGTCCCAGGGTCCTGGGATCAAGCCCCGCATCGGGCTCCCTGCTCAGCGGGAAGCCTGCTTCTCCCTCTCCCACTCCCCCTGCTTGTGTTCCCTCTCTCGCTGTGTCTCTGTCAAATAAATAAATAAAATCTTAAAAAAAAAAGATTCATGCATGTTGTAGCATGTTTCAGAAATGCATTCTTTCTTAAGACTGAATAATACTCCACACTCTATCATACGGATAGACCCTTTTGTTTATCCATTCATCCATCCATGGATGTTTGGGTGGTTTCCACCTCTCGGCTGTTGTGAGAAATGCTCCTGTGAACACGGATTATAGCTGCTGGTTTCTTGTATGTAATTCTCATCGTTCTATTAAAGACACACATGACTGTTTCATCATGCCTTCACACAGGACACTGACACACCGACACACAGGCAAGAGAATCCCGCTTTTACCTGTATAGAGCTGGTAGCGAGTGTCTTCCAACCCGAGGAGGTAGTTTATCATAGTGGATTTGCCAACGCTCCACGGTCCGAGGAACAGCACCATGGGCTTGGAAGTAATCTCCCCATCTGTAGGCAGCAGGAATTAGACATGGAAGTGACTGACAAGGTTTTTACGGGAGTGACCCAGTGCTTCCCGCCGCATCCCACGCCCATCTGACGGAGTTACAGAATTCTACACCATGGGCGCCTGGGTGGCTCAGTTGGTTGAGCGACTGCCTTCAGCTCAGGTCATGATCCTGGAGTCCCGGATCGAGTCCCACATCGGGCTCCCTGCTCAGCAGGGAGTCTGCTTCTTCCTCTGACCCTCTTCCCTCTCATGCTCTCTATCTCTCATTCTCTCTCTCTCAAATAAATAAATAAAATCTTAAAAAAAAAAAGAATTCTACACCAGACCGGGCAGGGTGTGGCAGTCCATAAGTGTCTTACTACATAAGTGCGATCACCCAGTTAAAAGACACCAGGAGACATGATTTTGGCCTTACACAGATCTTTGGCACACGGGCACCAGAAGGAGGTAAGTGACATCAACAAACACACCAACTCAGAGCTCACTGTGGGTGAGGCCTCCTGGTTTGCATCTGGGGGACAGTTCATAAGGGGAGAAGGGAACTACCACAGGGGGAGAGGTTAAAACTCTGCTACCTGGGGGCGCCTGCCTGGCTCCATCGGTAGAGCATGTAATTCTTGATCTTGGGGTCGTGAGTTCAAGCCCCACATTGGATGTAGAGACTACTTAAAAATAAAGTCTTAAGGGGCGCCTGGGTGGCTCAGTCAGTTGAGCGTCTGCCTTCAGCTCAGGTTGTGATCTCAGGGTCCTGAGATCGAGCCCCACATTGGGCTCCCTGCTCAGCAGGATGCCTGTTTCTCTCTCTCCCTCTGCCTGCCGCTCCCCCTGCTTGTGCTCTCTCTCTGTCTCTCTGTCAAATAAATAAATAAAATCTTTAAAAAAAAATCCTAAAAAAAGTTTAAAAAAAAACCCCTCTGCTATCTGGATTGGTAACAGAAAAAAAAAAAGACATGAAAGAGGCTTACATAATCTTAGACATCCTGGACGGGGGCCCCCTGACATTCCTACCTCAGGCTCAGCCTGACCCTGGGCTCCGGGCCAGTCTCAAATTAGCCTCCAGAGACCATAATCTATTTACCAGGTCCCAGGACCAAGCACTGACTAGGTAGTTCTTGGCTTCCTGGGCCCTGTGTCCAATGTCAGGAAGAGCACCCTGCCCGGGCCACACCAGTTGGGGTCCCTAAGAAGGGAAAGCAGAATCCTCCAGTGCTTTCAAAACCAGGGGGCGGGGAGCAGGGGGGGTATGAGACCACTGGCTGCTGACTCGCAGGCATCTGTTCTTGCAACTCGTCTCTGAGCCACGGCACAGGGGCCAACCCAGTGTCACGTACACCTCAAGTTCTCCAACCTCTTTGTCTCCCTGAGCCCGGCACATAGGCCCTGACAGTAGACACTCTTTTTTTCCACTTTTTTCCATTTTGATGTATTTAATTTCTTGGTTCAAAACTCAGAAGTATATCGGGCGCCTGAGTGGCTCAGTTGGTTAAGCGACTGCCTTCGGCTCAGGTCATGATCCTGGAGTCCCGGGATCGGGTCCCGCATCGGGCTCCCTGCTCGGCAGGGAGTCTGCTTCTCCCTCTGACCCTCCCCCCTCTCATGCTCTCTCTATCTCATTCTCTCTCTCAAATAAATAAAATAAAATAAACTCTTTAAAAAAAAAAAAACTCCAAAGGATAAAAAGGTATAGAGTGAAAGTCTCCCACCCCTGTCCCCAATCTGCTTAGACCATAACACCCACTACGTATTCTTTCAGGCATTTTAATGCATGCAATCCAAGCAATAGGAGCAGATATCACATTCCCCATCTTTTTTCTCCAAAGAGGAGTACAGTATTCTTCTTGTTCTGCACCTTGCTTCTTGAGGTGCTGGTTTTCTTTCTCGAGGGTGAAACTTAGTCTCAGAAGACTAAGATGGCGTCTCATAAATGGCAGGCACATATATAATTGCCTGAAATTGATACCACGGCCCCGCCCCATTCCTCCCTGCCTGCAAACACACATGATGAGTCGCTCGCATCTCTGGAAGTTGGCCCCTGGCTTGAGGACAGGAAGGGATAGGCAGTCGGAGGGGGTGGCAGGAGTCCCCAGTTACAATCACAGAGATCCTACAGAGAATGTCTTTGACCCAGGCCTGGGAGACACGAGGGGAACTGGACCTTCCAGCTCCCGCAGAGATGAACCAGAAACGAACCAGAAATGGGCTCTCTGGGGACTGCTGTTTCGGCCGTCTGCAGCAGGGGGAGCTACTGCCATGTGCAGGCGGCCACAGGTGAGACACAGGGAGGCTGCGAATCCCTGGCATCTGTGCGTGAGGGCCCTCTTCTGTGAAGCGGGAATAATAGCTAGCCTAAACACCCTACCCACTTTAGAGCCATCAAGAGCATCACATGAGAGAATACAGAAACCCCCAGTTCACACAGAGATAGATGTGTAACGCCACTCACCACTCAACCAGACACCACCGTGAAACTTTTTGGAGAGGAGCAGCTTGGGAAAAGGGTACGGCTGCGGGGGAACAAGACTCTCACAGACCATTATCGTGGCCACAAACTGGTCCGACCTAAGGCGACTTGGCAACAACTACGAAAATGCTTTACTCCACTGTTGCACTTGGAAGCATGTGTCCTACAAATGGATCTGCACGAAAATACCTAGCAATTAGAGTCGCGTTTGGAACGTTTTTGGAACTGAACGTGGCAAACGCCCGATCGTCCGTCAGCTGGACAATGACTACCTAGGGTGGTGCGTTCAGAGGCTCAGAAAGAGCAAAGCGCAGCTGCGCACCCGCAACCATGCACTGGGATACCATTGGGTAAAATGCAAACAGAGAAGGACGCGCTTGTGTTTGTTCATGGGCACAGTGCAAATGTCCGGAAGTACTTGCAGGAAACTATAACAGAGGGAGTCTCTGAAGTGGAAGGGGAGACGCTGAAAATCAAGAGAGGGATTATTTTTCAATCCGTACTGTTTTCCACTATTTGATTTCTTTTTGGCAACAAGTATCCCTTGTTTTTATTATTCTGAAAATGAACTTTTAAAAGAATCCAGACCCAAGGAAAGCTGACCGAAGAAGTGATAAGGAGAAGAAAAAAAGGATTCCGGACAAATTAGGGGACTTGACACATCTCTTCGCAGTCAGGGGCCCTGGGGGACCATTCAGCACAGGAGGGATGGAAACTGGCATCGCGGTCCTGGGAAACCATGACTGTACTACTGAAGCATGAATGCACGAAAACAACGTGGTCTCCACCAAACCCTGTGCAGATATGGGTACCCTTGCAGGGGAAGGATGATCCCAGGACCGAGGCCTCCGGGGGGATTTAGGAGAGCTCAGCTCCACGTGTCCTCATGCCCACCACTCACACAGCACAAGAGGGCATGGCACAGGCATCAGGCACGAGCGTACCTGTGATCTCGTGCTGCCGAAGCTCATTGTATTTGTAAGACTGCTCCAGGGGCTTGATGGATGAGTGGTAGATCTTTCGAAGCCGCTGCAGCACCACTGGGGGCAGAGAAGGGTGAAGGGAGAGGGTGAAGGAAGGGGGTCCAGGCTCACTCCGCAGCCACCCCCCCCCCCCCCGGCGCCCCCACTCTACAGCCATACATTAGCATTCCTGGAGGGAGATGGTCCACATCCCAACCCTCAGAAATCGTTAACCAAAAGGCATTCCCTCCCACCCTCCAAACCTCCTGCACTATTTTTTTTTTAAACCTGATCCTCTTCTCCCTCCAGGGAGAAGCAACTCCCAGGGTGAGGCAGGGAGCCTGCAGGGTGTGAGGCCCAGGAGGAACTGGGGCCCCAGGCCAGGCTGTCTAGACCCGACCTTCTCACTGCTCTCCTCTAGCTGTGTGCGCCATGAGACCCGTGCAAACCCGAGGCTGCTCTGAGCTCCAGCTAGCTCCTCAATGAAGAGGAGACATGAGCCCCACTGAAAGCCTTGGGTTATTCTGAGGATGAAGTGCCAGAAATAAAAGGGCTTTATAAACTGTAAAAACCAAAGCAGATGGGATGAACTCTCATTAGCAAACCTCCCTGGCCACGGCACGAAGGCTGGCACCGGGCCCCCAGCAGCAGTACTGGGATTTGTCCTCGACCCTGGCCCTGTTCCCTCTGCTTGGATCACCTCTCCTCCTCCCTGCCAATCCAGAGCCCCCACACAGGCCTTGGACACTGCTCTGGGAGCCTCTTCCACAGAGTCCCCCATCTCCAGGACTCTCAGCCCTGGGGACCTGCCAGCCTCAGAGCCCAGCCCTGGACCCACCCCCAGTCCCAGGTCCTTCCTCTGGTTACCAGAGTAATCATCCACTGGCTTGTCCTCATTCAGCATCAGAGTTTTCTCGATGTGGGAGCGGTCCCTCATAGGGGCTTCTTCACTCACATCCTCTGCCTCTTCTGGGGAGAGAAGCACAGTGCAGGGTTAGGGCAAAGCTAAGAGCTGGGCTTTGCTCTTTGCAGGAAAGGGCATAAGGAAGTGCTACAGGAAGGCTTGCCAAGTTCAACTGAACCGAGTTCTGTCTCGAGGAGACTCAAAAAATCCAAACTCAACTTCTGCTAAACTCCATGATCCATTTCACGCAATCAACAAATACGGACTGAGTACCTACCATGGGTCAGGACTGAGCTCCATGCTAGGAATGCAGTGGTGCCCAAAACAGACATAGCTCCTGCCCTCGGGGAGTTTTCCGGGGAGAAATCATCTTGAAAGTAAGGTAATAATTACAGTGTTGTGGCTATGGCAGGAAAGATTCCAGAAGCTATGGGGGCCTAAGATGTATGCCTATGAAGTCTCAGCAGGGAGTCAGAAACCCTCCCTGGGAGCTGAGATCTGAGGGGAGGAGTTAAGATGGGGGCAAGAGACAGGAACGGTTTATAGGAGTCTGCGTTACTTCCTAGGAGCACTGGCAGCCAGGGAGGGGCTCTAAGCAAACAGCTGACCTGACAAAAATGAGCATTTTATCACGATCACACAGGCTACTGTGGGGCTTGGGTGGGAGGAGCTGCAGCTGGATGTCTTGGGCCAGAGAGCGGGAGGGCAACCCTTGCTTCTGACCAAGTGGAAGATGCCCTGGTGACCCCCTGCAGGCTCCCAGGGAGGGGTTCCCACATTGTAGGCCTACTGGGTAGGTAGGGGAGACCAGTTCGACAAGGGATGGGAGCAGAGAAGAATCACTGTGTCTCGTGTAACACCTCAGGAATGTGATTCTCCACCAAGATCTGCCACGGCAGCCCAACCCCAGATGCAGCACAGAAGGGACAGGGGAAAAGGGGAGCTGCCGGCTGGCTGCACGCCCTTCCCCTTGTGGAGGGTGCAAGTGCCCAAAAAGCAGTGCGGAAACTAAATCCTGCAAGGAAATCTGTGGGGGAGCCATGCTGGAAAGTGAGGACTGAGCTCAGGCCCTCCATCCTGAAGGCCGCTCTTGGTCCAGGCCAGCATTTTCGGATGTGGCCTGCAGCGGGGGGGGGGGGGGGGGGCGCCGGCCATCCTTAGGATGCACTACATCTCCAGTGATGGCCCTGCCCTCCCCTGCGCCCCATCTCCCAGTCCTGCAGGACATCAGTCCCAGCCAGCCTGAGATTTCTTATCACCATCCTGACCCCAGTCCTCGTCCACCCCACCGGACCCAGCCTAGTCTTCAAGGGGAGAACCCAGGGGGCTCCGGAACACACCATACCCGCACCTCTCTCCGCCAGCCTGCCACCACAGGGCCTCAAAACCTGCCACTGTGTCCCATGTCCCCTTCAGGTTAAGGCACTGGCCCACATTAAAGTAGATTGAAGGACCCTAACAGGGAGGCTCCAGAGGGCCTCACTCAGAAGTAACCGGGTTATTCTGGGCCCTACATGGTGCAGCCTCCCACTGGTCCCTCCCAACAGGGTTTAGTGGCTCATGAGCGGCCCAAAGGCACCCCATGGGCCAGGCATCCTGGCCGGGGCCTCCACCCAGCAAACCCGGAGCTGGCTGGGTGTTCTGCCCCACCCAGCCCCTGCCTATCCCACCACACACATGTCTTCCAGGAAGAGTGCTGAGAGCTCTCCTGGTAATCCCCTACCCTGAGGCCCCTCCTTAGACTCCTCTGCCTCGTCCCCCTCGGGCCCTGTATTTAATTCCTCAGAGCTCAGCTGGGTCCCCTCATCATCTCCAGGGCTCTCAGTTCCTGCTGCTTCCTGGGGTTCCCCGGCTTCCTCTGAGGCATCCCCTGCTTCTTCTGAACTCTCTCCATCGCCAATGTCCTCCTCAGATTCTTCTTCTGATGGAGCTCCTCCTTCCTCGCCTCCACTATGGTCACCACTCTCTTCTTCAGAGGAGGCCTCGTCCAGGCCCTCCTCGGTTAGCCCTGGTGCCTGGCCCTCAGCGGGGTGGTCCTCCTGGGCGCCCCCTGCCTCGGAGCTCTGTGCATGGCCGGTCTCCGAGGCTGGGCTGGGGCTGGGCTCCCCCTGGTCCTCGGCCCCCTCCTTGGTTTCTGTGTCCATGTCCAAGACTCCATCTGGCACTTCTGGCTCCCGATCAGGCCCTGGGCTGTCCTCCTGTCGTGTCTCAGGGGTGTGGACCTCCGTGACCTCCATGCCAGGAGAGGCTCCCAAGACTTCCGGCTGTGCAGTCCCTCCTGCTGCCCCCTGCGCAGGGTGGTCCCCTAGGACCTCCTCAGCTTCCTCAGGGACCAAGGCACTCCCAGCCTGCCCTTCGGCCTCCCCCCCAGCCCCCTCCTGTCCTGGGCCCTCTCCCAATCCCAGCTCTTCCCCAGGCCCGCCCTCCCCTTCTGTTGGAAGGGTGCTGGCTCCGAGTGGGCCCACTTCTTCCTCCCCAGACCCCGCAGAGTCCCCAGGGACAGCTGACTCTGAGGCTGAGGCATTGGAGAGGCTGACTTCGGGACCAGAGCCCGGGCCGGCACCGGCAGGGGCCCCAGCGGCTGTCTGCTCCGAGCTCTCAGCCTCCCTGCCATCCGGGGAGTGAAGGAGCAGGGTCTTCTCTCGAGGGGCCGCCTCCGCATAAAGCGCCCTTTCCTTCTCCTCTAGACTTGCTTCTCCAGCAGAGAAATGATTCTCCAACAAATTGCCAACATCTTCTGTGCCACCCGAAGCGGAAACTTGCAGTTCTAAATGATTAGAACACCATTGGTCAGTTTCACAGGGTTGGCACTCACTCTGCTTCTCTAAAGAGTCTAACGCAACCTAGCTCCTGTCCTCCAGGAGTGAGATGTGGACCTCCCTCCCTGGTCTTCGGAGGCAAGCAGAGCAGGTGTTACTTGGCCTCCCTCCCACCCACTGTCCATCCCTCGGGGAGTGAGTGGCTGAGCTGCCCCAAGAGCCCCACCCCTCAAGCCTCCACTGGGTCCTGATCACCATAAGGAGGGAAACTCAGGGATCCCTTTCGGCAGGCACGTGTAGCCAGGCTCACCGGGAGATCGTTCCACGATAGGACAGATGCTTGGACATTCCACCGCCTTGTCAGTTCCTAGAGTCATTAACCGGCATGCTTTTTATACTGCTATCAGCAAAGGAGTGAAAACAGGTGTGTGCGGGCCAGATCATCTCAGGTTACAGGGCAAGTACTTAGGGGATTACTTGTGGCTCTCGGCCTTATTAAGTCACACATCCAACTCTGTCCCCCTAAGGACAGGCATTTGCCGGCCTTGCTGGCTTAAATTAGAGGGAACATGGCCTGAGGAGGAGGAGATACCCAAAACGGGCAGGGCTAGGGCTTCCAGGTGGCCTTAGCCAACCCCTTCCCGAGGGGCTCCCCTTCTAAGGGCCCGTGGCTTTACCAGGAGAGCTGAGGGCACAGAGAGAGCAGAGCAGGAGAGAGTGAGGGGGGTACCTAGTCTGTGCCGGAGACCTCTGTCAGGGGATAAGTGGGATTTACGTGCAAAATGGGGACAGGACAGAGGATGGATTCTATGCCTTCTGTCCCCTCCCACCCAGGCTGGGACTTGTTTAAGGAGGAGGCTCCAGGAGGAGGACCAGGCAGGACTGGCTCCCTGCCTTGGGGTAGCTGAGAGAGCCCCAGGGACTCCCTTAACTCACAAAGATGCTTTCTGAGGAAGTGGCATCCCACCTCCGCTGGGGACAGCCTGGTATTCCCATCTCTGCCTCCCACAAAGAAAAACCACATCTTGGGGTGCCCCTCTTGCCTCAGGGTACCCACCCACCTTGTTCCCTGAAAGCTGGGGCAACCTCCAGAGGCCAATAACAAATATTTTCTCATTAACCCCCACAGCAGCAACCTGTCAAATTCAGAAAGAGGAAATTCAGGTGCCTGTATTTATAAAAGAGCGGCTTACACTGATAGGACTCTTTCCAGTTCACGACCTCGACTGATCTCCTTAATTACCATCAGACACATTTCAGAAGGTCTAGAGAAAGTCTTTGACTTGCTAAGACAACAGATGGCTAATGGGTGACTGGAACGCAGAACTGTCTTAATAATCCTCCCTGTGTTCCCCAGTGCCCGGCCCACCCAAAGTGCCATGGAGAGGTCTGTGGAAGAGCTGCACGTTACCCATTAAAATTTTCTTTCCTTATTTGCTAATTCTTCTGCTTGCATCTCCATCCCCCCATCCCCACCCCCAGCTCCCTGGAGAAAAATCTACGGCAGGAACTTGGTTAAACCCAAAGAGACTGACGGTCTCTGAGCAGCAAGATACATGAAATATATCTCATATAAGACACATTTGTACAATGTTTCAGTATGCCAGGCAATGCTTAAGCATTTTATGTAAATAAGACATTAATTGATCTTACTCGATCTACTTCATCTCACTTGCTTCTGGAAGAGAAGTCTTACTCTTCTCCCCATTTTTACAACTGAGAGGTCTGAAATCTGAGACACTGAATGCCTTAACTACAGGGCAGCAAAGGAGGCTACCTGGCCCTAAAGCGGGATGGTACACCTATGCTACTCAGAGTGTGGTCTGGGCACCCACAGAACCAGCATCACCTGGGGGGCTTGGTAGAGATGCAGACTCTCAGGCCCCAGTTCAGACCCACTGAATCAGAATCTGCATTTTCACAAGATGCCCCAGTGATTTGTTTCCACATTAGTTTGAGAAGCACTCGTCTATACCACCTGATAAAAATGCCTCTGACCCAGTGGTTCTGGGCACTGGCTGCACATTGGAATCACCCAGTTCTTGGTGCCACTCCTCCCCCCTCCTCAGAGGTTCTGATTGAATTAGGCTGTATCCCCAGCATCTGGACATTAACAACAAAAAAAAAATCTTGGGTAATTCTACTATGTAGCCAAAGCTGCAAACCACTGATAAACAATCTTGAGCCCTGAGGCCCTGAGCCCAAGGTTTCTGCTCCTGGCCCCTCCCTACTAATATGCCCACTGGGGGCTCCCAAGTTGGATGAGTCACCCAAGCCTTGGCATTCGCCCTTGGAATAGCAATGGT